CAATGCCACAGCCCCCAAAGAAGTTAAGATGCTGTGGAAGAGACAGTACGTCAGCACATAATCCCAACCCTACCTGTGAGAAGTGAGAAGCTACATCAGAACTCAGAGAAGGGAAAAGCAGTCCGGGTAAGGGTGCTTTTCATATGGTGAGCATGCTCCTTCAATTCATTCCCTCAGGAAAAATGTTAAAATGATGTATCTCAAGCGAGAAATACAGGCTGTATTTTTATCGAAGAATGTCTTTTCTTAAAAACCCACAAGAAGGTTCTAAAGAAATTATTGTTGCTCTTTTTGTTTCTTGTTCCCCGCGATCAAATGACTTCTGTCATCATTGAAGGATTTTGACTGTCTCTGGAAAATGATAGCTAGAGTAACCCAACCAAAATGAATATTGCGGTGAGGAGGCCATTAGACTGGTAAGACACACAGCCAAAAGTGCCTTCGTGGACGACAAGTCAAGTAGGGGGTGAGGGGAATGAGAACAAAGTTAGCCTTTGCAAATGTAAGGAGATTTTCCAGTAAAGCGACAATAATTTAATTACAAAAATGCTTCTGATACGGCTACCCATGAAATCTTTTTTGGCAAAAAGACTGACAGAGTAAGTACGGCAGGCTAAGTGATTGCTGATTGGTTTGAATTAGAGCCAGATTAAAGGTACTGTACTGGCTTTCCATGTAGGCTGCTTGAAGAGGCAGCCAAATGTTCAAGCCTAAACCCCTCCTCTAGCATATAATCTAAGGCCACCATGTTCTCTCAAGACACATTAACAAGTTTTAGGTTAGTGAGCCAAACACCAACATTTTTCTCGCCTGATTTATTTATCATCTGTACAAAATGAGTCTGACTGATTTCTATGGCAAAAAGCAAATGCTACCACAATCACACGAGATGACATAACTACGGAATGATCATTTTTTAAAGAGCAAATCATACTCACCATAAAGAGCCACAGTAGCATTTCAATCCTTCAATGCCCTTCAGTGCTTTGTGTTTCGTAGCCAAAGTCTTTAACAGCCCATGAAGGCTGATAAACACCTTGTATTGAATAGCAGACTAAGAATGCAATCATCATTAAGTGATTTTTAAGCCCAAGTGTGGCTCCATTTATATTCAATTGGTTTAAAAACAAAAAAATAACACTTTGTATTTTACTGGGAAGCATCCAGATTTTTATTTAAAACAGAAATACTGAAAAAAAAAAACTAAAAGAAAAAAAAACTACACAGTTTCTGTTCTGGACCATTAATTTTTCAGTCAGATCTAACTATCATTTAATTGGTTCCTGATGCTAAAACTTGGATTCCACTTTAAACGCTTGAAACTAGAGCATATAGAATAATTTGTTATGCTGAGCTATTCATCCCAAATGTCCAGGGAAAATAAACCAATCTCAAAATAAAACTGGGCTACCTTCTGTGATGACACAAAATTAATAACATAGTCTAAGAAATAAACCTTGCATCTATGTTTGCCAAAAAAAAATCATTAGGGTCTCCATGATGAAGTAATATTTAATACATATAAATGTTTAATGTAAAAGGAGGTCTGTGAACTAAAAACACAAATTTTGTGAGCATAAACTTTAGAAATCTTGCCTAAATTAACAAGACTCAGAATCATAATTCAAATAAATCTACTTCTCTTGGGTTTGTGAATGAATTTTTCGTACTTCTTATTTTTTCTATTTATAGATCGATTAAAATGAGTTCTGGTAATATGTAACCCACTGATGAATTCCTAGAAGGAAATTTCAACTTTTCAAAGATTTCAAAGTAGTCTACATTGTCACTTTACAACGTGAAATCTAAACAGGAAAATATTCTATAGACGTGACTTTTTCTTCGGTAAGTACAGAAAAAAAATATATTGAATAATCTGGGAATTTAAGCAGCAAAGTGGCTTGAGGGATCTGCATTGTAAACAGGTTTCTGTTCACAACAAAGTCAATTTATAATCTGGCTAAACTAACCAGCTCAGAAAAACAACCTCTGAACAGGAATGCCACACATGCAGATAAACACTAGTGAAAACCTTCCTGAAAGGACTGCTGGCTCAGCGTGAACCCAGTGCAACTTGGTAACCAGTCCTCTGGAGAGAGGCCAAATTAGTCAGATAATTGCTCTGGCCTGAATGCAGCCTTGGAAGTGCTAAAATCTAAAATTCTTCCCAACTTCTTTTTTTTTTTTTTAATGTTTATTTATTTTTGAGAGGGGTGGGGGGCAGAGAGAGGGAGACCGTGGATCCGAAGTGGGCTCTGTGCTAAGAGCAGAGAGCCGGATGCAGGGCTTGAACTCAGGAGCGGTGAGATCATGACCCAAGCCGAAGTCAGAGGCTCAGCCAACTGAGCCACCCCGGGGTCCCCAAATTCTTCCCAGCTTCTTAAGGTTGGCTTAAGAGTCCTCAGCTAGTGGCCATGAAGCAGAGATAGTTAATGTTTCTGTAGCTTCAGTAATCACAAAGTGATTTGTAAATGAGGAGCTCTCTTTACTGCTGAAATGAAGTTCAAAGACAATATGGCTGAGCTATTTGCCACCGATTGAAACTGCAGGAGAAAAAGGAGGCACAGAATGCACAATATCTTTCATTCAGAGAAAGTAGGCGTAAAGTTTCCTAGTCTTCCAGGAAGACTAGGAAATGTATGTTATATGTTATATATATGTTAGAAATATATTTGTAAAATTTATCCTCATTGGTTTAACTCCATCCTCCCAGTCAATACTTTCGTCCAGATGCAAGTACGAGCTATACGTGTAATTTTATCATTTTCTCTTCCAGTCAGCTCTTGATTTGTCATTTTCAGTGGTTTTCTGTCAGAGTTTTGCATAGCAGTACCAGAAGCATTTAGCTGTATTAGAAACATTTTTGTAACTAAACCATTGTCACTTTCCTGGAAAATCTCCTTACATTTGAAGACTGAATTTGTCATCATTCTTTGCTCCCTACTTGACTTGAAGTCTACAAGGCACTTTTGGCTGTGTGCCCTTCCAGCCTAACGGCCTCGCCACCAACCCATCAGAATATCTGGTGATTTAACTATGTTTCCTGGTTCTTCTTAGTAGCAACAGCTTCCACTGGCAAGGTGGTTTGTTAGCTCCATACTACAGTCTGACTTAGTGCCAAGAACTTACCGCCTTTCCTTCCCCCAAACCTCTTCCACCTTGGGTGCTACCTAGATCAATGAAAGCATCAGGTCACAAGACAGAAAACTGGCTCAGCTCAGAGACTGCTTTTGCTCTCTCCACTCCCACATCTAAGCCTCCATTAAGTCCTGCCCAGCGGACCCCCAAATGCACCTAGTTTCACCTCCTTCTTTTCATCCTTTGCCCCTTGCCTTAGAGGAAGCCCTTGTAATATTGTCTGGAGTACTGCAATACCTCCCTATGTTCCCTCCCTTCTCTTCCCTTTCTGTTTTAACACTCATCCGGGCAGGTCTCTCCACTTCACAAAATCATCAATGGCTCCAATGCCTGCAGTCTCAAGTCCAAACTCCCTGCAGCCCTCACAAGAGCGTCTGGGCTCCGTCTCTAACCAATGCGCATATTTATCACAGTTTGCATTTCCCCCAAACATCTCATTTTCTTGTTATCTTTGAGTTGGCTGCTTCCTCCGCGTGGAATATCTTTCCCATCCTACCCTGTAGAATCTGCTTAGAGAATTCTTTGTAGACTCAGGTTCTCCTACCTCCCGTGGGCAACCTCCACCCTTGGCTTTCCCTGATCATCCTTCCTGAGCACCTTTCCACTCTCCCTTAGAACATTCACCCACTGCTAGGGAATTAGCAGCTTATGGACAGTTGTGGGTTCCTGGAAGGCTGGGATTTTTTTTTTTTTTTTGACCAGTTTTTGTATTTCTAGCACCTAATTGGAGTCCTGAGAACCTGAAGAGGGGAGGGCAGTTGAGGAAGGAAAGGAGGAAGACAGAAAGAGAAAGGGAAGGAAAAAGAAAGAAAAGAAGGAAGAAAGGAGGGAGTCGGGAGGGGGGATAAAAACCACTTGCATACCCTTGTGAGAATAAATACATTTAGCCAATCGAGGCAACCAACTACTGAAAAACTGGCACAGGAAAACACCCCTCACTTACACTGGAAGCTTGTTGTGTGAGGCCTGAAAAAAAGATCTAAAAAGACAGAGTACAGTCCTTTCTAACAGAACTGAGTCATATGATGAGATTGGTTTCTGAAACCAACGGTATCTAAAAGTAAAGAAAATAATGAATGCCAGAACAGTGCGTGGGGGTGGATTTTTCTCCAAAATACACCCTAGAGATTGAAAAGGGAGAGGGGGAGGATAAAGGTTGACTAGACGTGAGGGGAGCCAAAAATCACCTTTTCCCCCTTCAAAAGGCATCAGAGAAAGGAAAGGGGGATTGTACATTAATGGAAAAAAATCAACCACTCTGATTAAATGTTACATATTTTTTACTCACTCAAATTTCAGAAGGCCAGGGGAGGGGCTGAAGGGTGTGTTTTTACTAATGATTAATCTCTCTCTCTGCGTGTGTTTTTCAACCTGGTGACATTGTTGAACTTGGGGCAGGGGAGAGAAAAATTAAAATAGCCAAAAGTCCGTCTTCTCGGGTTCTACTAGAACATTATCCTTAATGTAAGTTTCCCTTGATTGTCCACTTTTATGTACCCAGTGAGAGCCCTGCTTGAGAGGAGTCTTTTCTTTTATAATTTGACACCTAAACATTTTGTCTACTTACTGTGAAAAGTCATCAAATAAAGGAAGTTACAGAAAAACATTATTATCCCCAAAGCAATTTATGATAGATAAGACATCCAAAGTTTTGTCTAGTTAAAAAAAAAAAAAATGCTTCTGAGATGAACGCTTGTTAAAACATTTGAGAAAGCTACGAATATTCTAAAAGAGTCTGCTCTTCCTATATGGTGGCAAGAAAAAAAAAAAAAGCCTAAAGACACAGCAGGAATAAATAATCCATAGTGATTTATTTACAGAGCCTGAAGCGTATGGTTCTGAACAAGATATTTCCCAGAGCAGCAGCAGCGAGCCTGACACAGCACCAGACCCGTTTCAAGCTCCCAAACGACTTTTCCATAGCCGCGTGCCTCTGTTTTCCATGCTACGTTTCCTGCTCTGAGGTCAGTAACTTATTTCATTTACTTTTCTCTCTAATCCGTATGCCTATCCTATCACACTAGAAAAACTCTGAGGTCTCGGTTTCAGTGATGTGGATGAGACTGACCCAGTGTCACTGAGTCACCAGTCAATCCAAAGGCTAATCTGTATTTTGTCCTGACTGCCCCAAGTAAGCAATAAAACTTCATTCACTCATTTCTTCATTCATTCATTCAACATACATGTCATGAGAAACTACTATATGCCTGCCATGGTGCTGAGTACTGGAGGGCAAAGGTTAACAATGGTTACTCTCCACTGAACCCACAGTGACAATACTGGGTAACAAAATGCTATAAAAGAGGAAAACAGAAAGTGAGGATGCAGAGAGGAAGAAGCAACCAACACTAATCCCTTTGTCCAAAAAGAAGAGAAGTTTGCCTTCAAAGGAGAGTAACTATATTTAACTTTAGAAATGACTAGAATATCCTTATGTGCCACTGGACTAACGTCTATACTTCTTAAGACCTGGGTCTGTAAGATCATCTTCTATAGGCAAAACTAAGAAGCAACTTAAAGAAATTATCTAGGTTCCTGTTTGGAGGGGACCAGGAGGGAGGGGATTACCTAGGGAAGAGTGTAAACATGTATAAATTATTGAGAGATTTGCTTAGAGCGTCTGCAGAAATGTGATCCAAGTTCACATATGTGGTTGAGAATTAACAAAACACCTTTACCAGAGGCCTGCCAGAGCAAATTCATGGAGACTTGTCCTAACTTACAGTAATATAGGACTTAATGGGTTTTAAAGCACTTTCATCCTCATTATCTCCCTGTACCTAAGGGTTCATCACAGAGTATGTATACTGAGGCACTCAGGGAAAGTAGTACATTCCCAATCTGACTGGGAAATGTGAGGATCAGAGAACCATGCTTGCAAACAGCACACCCAGGATGAGCTCTCCAGTCTTCTGAGTCCTGACCGGCGCCCTTCTTTCTTGCACCCCGCTGTATGAAACAACAGAGCAGGGGGACTAAAATCTAAATACAAAAACAAGCTCTCAGATCAGATCGATGAGACCGATATGATTGTCTCACATAGATATGATGCAAATAAATGTGATTTCTAATGCCCCCAGTGCCCCACTAAATAATAGCTGGAGTAGGTTCTTCACCATGCTAGACCTCATGCAGAGGAAGAATAATCTTTGAAAGACAAGACTGGGAGCAAGGCATCTTCCTTAAAGACCTTAGAGATTTTAGAGATCAGTATTTTCTACTGCAGACTAAAGGAAGCTCTGGGGATCCCAGAGAGAGAAAAAATCAGTCTTGGAAGTGACTGTGAAATCCACTCAATACCAAAGATTTTTTACCTGCTAAGCCTACTCCCTCCTTCAAAAACCCTGGGAGGGTTTTTCCCAAATTAACAGGAGAGAAAAATATGGGGGTGGACTAGGATTCAGCTCGACCCACGACTGACCAGGGAGAGATGCCTCCCCAGTGGAAGTCTTTGGTGGCGATGAGGAGGAAGTGAGTAAGCTCGGCTGTACTAAAGGTTATCGAATCTGGGACTGGACCACAAGGCTTGAGGACTGCATCAAAGGAAGGACTACACTCCCTGATTCCGTGTGTTCCTTTGGCTTTTGTAATCCGCAGACCTAAAATGACAGTGTCTGAAACAAGACGGAAGTGTCTTTCTCGAGTGTCAGTCCAAGCAATCCCGTGGGTGTGGCAGTTCCCCAGTGCCAGGACCCCAGGCTCCTCCAGCTTGTTGCTCAACCGTGGCTTCTCCAGCTCCAGCTCCAGTCCTCCCACCACGCTGCAGGCAGGGGAGGGAGGAAGTGCACAGGGACGCATGTAGAAGTTGCACGCGGCACTCTTGTTAATATCTCATTGGCTACAACGCCATCACCTGTGCACGGCTGGTTGCACGGGAGGCCCAGCTACGAGCTCTGTGGCTGTAAGAGCAAAGGGAGAGCAGATGTCAGAAGACAACCAGTTGTTTCAGCCACAGACCCCAACCTGAAGATTCGTCTCTGACAAGGCTTCCTCTTTTCCTTCAGCTCAACTGCAACTATTTTCTAGCACTTTACTGTAATGATGAGCCTCCTTTTCCGTCTGAACTGCAACCCCATTTCTGAGGCACAAAGTCACGGGCAGCTCCTAAGAGCGGGAGCCACAAGCTTAAAAAACTGCTTCGACTCTGCTCCAAAGTGATTAGCCTCATGAATATATTACTGGTATTTTTTTAGTGCTTGCTGTTAAGACAGTCTAACAATTAATTTGTAACCAAAAGAAATATCATCTGCTTAACAGGGAATATCAACCCATGAGAAATAAATGGTCTCTGCTTCTTACTAGAGAACTGTTAAGAACACTGTATCACTTTGATACTTGAGATCTGAAAAAATTAATGGAAGTGTTAGGGTCTATTTTAATGACAGTGTCTTTAATGATCACTTTAAAGTGATGGTTACAACACATTTCTCCAATTTTCTGTCCATTTACTGTCTCAATAGGTCACGACATTAATGGGAGGGGACACTAAATCTGAGGCTAGAATGAATCATGCCCGGCTCCAATCAAAATTGTACTGAATGCATGTATGGAATGTATTTGGATTAATATTACTCACACAGCAAAGATACCAAAGATACCACGTGACAGGAAATTCGAGGTTCGCACCAGTGTCCAGAGCACGTATGCCTGCCATCCAGTAGTTACGTTACATTGTAAGGACTCTGTCAAATATCTTGTATGGCAACATTAAATATGGGTCTGGAAGCCAGTTAGAAAATCCCTGAACTGAGTTTATTTGAGAGCTTAACAATATAAATTGCAGAAGAAGAGAGACTCTCCTAGAGAAACTTCTCTACAATATAACACTATAAACAGCTCTCTAGAAACATATTTCATCAACTGAGTAAGATCCCCTTGGCAGGCCATCTCCCGGGGTAAGCTGCAACGTCTGTAACATCTCCAACTCTGGGAGAAAGATGACATTCTCTGAATCCTGGAGGAACTGTGTTTTCCCCTTAGAACAAAAAGCATCATCCTAAAGCGTGGGCCTTGTCAGCTTTGTTAACACTGCCAAACCCCATCATCTCCCTTCCCCAAATACCTACACCGTCACATGCATACACATACATACATGTACACACACACATGGCAATCACCTTGGACAGCATAATTTTTTCTGAGAGCGTAATTTCTAAGAAGACAAATAATTATATCACTCATTAGTGCTTTGTGAGAAAGTGAAATAATTAAGGATATCTGGTCACTGGGGTGGTTAGACTCTTTACCACTTACCTTTTCACTGGAAAAAAAAAAAGGCATCTGTGGCAAAGCTTGGCATCTGCTTAACTTCGATGTCTTTCTTGGGAACAGAACCCTGATTTTACTTGGGCATATCGTCCCCCAAAATAAAAGATTACGTTTCCTGGCCTCTTATGAGCTGGGTGTGACCATGTGGCAAAGTTCCGCCCAACGAGAGGTTCGCTGGATGATTTCCAGCAAGTCTGTTGAAAGGGCCTGACTCACATGGGAGAGCTCTGTCCTTCTGCTTACCCTCCTCCTGATTTGCAACACGGATATGTTGACTGGAGCTGTCACACACACGGATGGCTCACGGGGCCATCTTGGACCATGAGGTGAGCCTGGGAATGCAAATCACACCTGGGAAGAAATCTGAGGTAAAGTAGGCTAGGCTGCTGTAACAAAGAAAATCCAGACTTGGTGACTTGGAAGACAGATGATTTCTCTCAGAGAAAGTGAGGCTTCCCAGCAATGGGCAATTTTCCTCCAGTCATCCAAGGACTTAGGCTCATGGTGACTTTGTCCTCTTTGTTGTGTGGCTTCCACGGCCACTCTAGCCATTACCATCCAGCCAAAGCCAAAGTGGGGGAAAGAGTGGAAAGCCGGGATCATAGATCTCCTCTTAGGCAAACGAAGAGGAAACTGCTTACATCATGTCTCCTCATACCACTGGCAAGAGCTTTATCACATGGCCAAATCCAGCTACAAGGGAGACTGGGAGATTCCATGAGCCCAACTGGAGAGCCACATCTCAGTTACAATTCTATTATTATGGGAAAAGAAGATTCACAGAGTTTGATAAAAACCAGTCTCTGGACAGAAGGTAAGGTGGGATGATAGGAGTCTGGGCCCTAATGACACCTTAGGGCTGCACTCTGTACTGACTACATCGGCATTTCTCTTAGCTGAAAGAAAAATCGATGTTTATGTTTTCAGGCCACTCCTATTTTGAAAGGTTTTTCTCCCCTTCTTTACAGCCAAACATAATCTTAAATGGTACAAATTATCAAATTTTACCTTTGAACATAAGAACATTTTGATTTATGAGTACAAAATACATATGGTCAGTTAAACGATTATGGAATTTAAACTATAAAGGATTACTCTAATGGAACGTTGAAAATTATGGCTGCAATTTTGAGTTAGCATTCAAAATGGAAATTTTTCTTAGCTTCCCCAATATTACTTGTCTTTGTACCTTGCAATACAACATGTGATTTCTCTGTGGCCTAAATATTAATAATATTGGTTATTAATTAGTGAAAACTAAGATTCATTTTTGCATCTTTGCAAGTTCAGAGTGAGGTATGCATATTTGTCCTCGTCGTATTTCGTAAGAGAGCACATGTACACGTAGAACTTTCACTTGTAGGATCATGAATCCCTTATGAACAAAAACTCATTCGATCAGATTGTCCCCATTGCCTCAGTCAGCATATCAACCCTTTTAAGTGATTAAGGCTGCATTTAGCACCCCTCACCACAATGACATAAAATTGAAATAGCTTAAACATGACTTAGAAATTTGCTTGTTCCCTTCAATGGAGATTTTTAGGTATGGGGACCAGAAGACATGGATTCTCGTCTTACTTACCCAAGCTCAGATCTCTGCTCTTGAGCGGGACCCTTAAATGCCTTTGATCTCATTTTTCTGATTTATTAAAACGAACGTTCACATGAAACCATCTCTATCATCTTTCTCTAC